TGCACTTTTGCTAAAACATGCTGTGAGTGTGGTACTGTTGTGATTTGCAAAATCAGATAACTAAGGAGCACATTACAATTTTTGGAGCTGTCAGTGCACGCTGTTTGAAGTGTTTTGGGGGAACTGAAGTTGATGGTTATACAAGCAGACATGCCTTACCATTTTTAAAAGACTCAAATGGATTGCTTATTTGGCTTTTGTTACACATTCTTGTATACAGAAAATAATACAAATGTAATAATAAACCTTTTATTAATAAAATACTTTATATTGTGGCTCTATCTATCGCCGATGTCCTTTGCAAACTATGTATCTTCATTGATCAGGAACCTACAAACAACAAGATATTATATTCTACAATTCCTTTAAAAACTTTAAATTGGGGGAAGACAGATTGGATTTAGATATTAACTGATATGAAATGCTTTATCTTATATAGTTCAAAGTGTTACATGGATAACATTACTGTGAGCTTTAACTTCACACACTTTTTCCATCCAAATGTGTCTTTTGTAAAATGTAACAGACAACAGGGCATCAGTTTAAACAGTTATCAAATATGTGGAAAATGCATCCACCATCATCTCCTTAATAAATGGAATTACTGCCTCTTTCGTTCCTGTTATAAATACTATTTGTAAAGAAAGCTATATTACAAGTTAACACATTACATGTCACTTGTTAGACGTTTTTATCCAAAGCGACTTACATACATTCAGTACTGTGGGCAATCCCCACAGGAGCAATTTCGGATGAAGTGTCTTGCCCAGGGACACAACGACATGCTGACTGCAGTGGGACTCGAACATGCTAACCCCTGATTCCAAGTCCAGCACACTACCCACTGAGCCACAGCCTCCCTAGTTATAAATGAATCAGGTATCTATATATATATATTTATAAAACGGACAAGTCAAATCAAGCAATCTGATTGGTTCTTAGCCGTGATATACTGAGCGTATACCACGGGTAGAATTGTAAGTTACTTTTCACAACAAGTCAGTATCCCTCCGCGTCTGAGAAAAACAGTAGGCTATACCGCTGGGCTGAAAACTGGAACAAGAAAGCAGCGGAGAAGTAACGGGGCAGAAGCTGGGCAGAAGCCCTCCTTTTTGACGCAGCGGTCCAGACATACATCAAACGGCAAAACATATTCAGTGTGCAGTTCCTTTGGCATTAGGGCAAGGATATCTAGATACTTTTGAAGGTTTAACATAATGAATTGTGCTACTTTTAAAGCAAGCAACGATGTTTTCAAATCTGTAATCAAAGAGGTCCGCAAAAACGCTATCGACCAATCAGATTGCTTGATTTGACTTGTCAGTTTTATAAATATATTTAAATTTCTTCCGTTACGAAACAAACTTACAAAGCATAAAATGGAAACATTTAAGATTAACTTCGACCTCCGGGGGGGTCTTACTATAGAATGGAGGAGTGGATTGAGCAGTGCCTATCTCCAGAAAAAAAAAGCACCTAAACTACGACATGCAGAGCTACGTGAAGAGCAGGTAGACCAACTGGAAAAGTACCACCATTCAAAAGCTTTCTGATGCGGGTCTTGAAACAAAGCATAGAAATTATGACCGTTAGTGGCCACAGGTGCGAAAGCTCTCTCCAGAGCTACTGGAAGCCCAATCTCGGGGACCGGAGAAAGTGGAGCAATATTCTCGCCACGGCAAGCAACAGCCTAGAACAACCTCAACCTATACAAGTGACCACGTAAGCCATGCTACTGATGCTGGACAGTTTTTCAGTGGATGCACAATAAACAGCAACATACACATTAATGTAAATAAACAGCCAAATAATGGATCAACGCTCTCTGTCTAATATGTTCGCTTGCTGTTAGTGTTGTTGCGTAGCAACCACCTTTTGTGGAGAAGGCAACGGAGGGACTATTTTATTTTGAACATCATTATTTACTAATACAAACTATTTAAATTNAAAGTCGACGGTGACGACCCACTTTGATACATTCGAAAATGCTTTCTGCTGCGGACAAGAAAGCCAAACAACTCACGTTCACCGAGGCATCAACCTCCAAAACCCTTTCGAGGGCTACAAGAAACGAAGTGAGTAGCCTACAAGATTGAAGCTGGTCAGATAACGTGTGTGTGTGTGTGTGTGTGTGTGTGTGTGTGTGTGTGTGTGTGTGTGTGCCCAATATTTAAAAAAAATCTATTATTTTTCGCAACTTTCCGCATATTTCGCAATTTCACTGCGTAAAATCACATACAAATGTTTAATCGCATAATCAAGGATTTTAGCCCGCGTTTTTCTGGAGGGTCTAAAAAGGATAGTGAAACAGCTCTCTCTTACTCTAAGATTAAAGGGAGAAGGTCATTCAGTCCCAGCGATAAATCAGCACCATACAAAGACACATTTATCTATAAACCCTGTAGGGAAATACCATTAATAAACATTAAACAGTATCATTCAATTAATGTCGATTATGTTGTATGGGGGAATAGCCCAGTTATTCCGATTAAATAACAGGCAAAGCAAAACAGCCCAAGCCAAACATAAATAACAGCACATAAAAAACATAGTTCATTGTTTAAACCAGTACTACTATCTGTGTATTTACAGTATATTTTGTCGACATGAAGCAAACACATTTTTACATTTGTCACCAATAGGACTCTTTACAACAGAGCCATCAGATTTAAATTGTGTAGCAATGAGCTGGAAAAGGAGGATGATTAGATAGTATGTTAGCACCTTTATCTAATTCCCTTCTGATTTGAGATGCAAATGACAGCTGTTAGAGATACGTCAGCACAAATCCCACGAAAACAGAAAGAGACATGCTGCAAAGGGCTTTGAGAGAAATACCCTTGTAGATACAAAGTAGAAATTAATTATTCATAAACCTGTGCTTAATGTGAATACAGTCATGTTTACTAAACCTCTTGCTTCTTGGCTTAACTCATTGAAGACATTCAATATTTGTTTTAAAACCAGTTGATTTCAGAACAATCCCACAACTGACTGCACAATTTGACCGTTCTGTCACTCACATAATGTGTGCAGAATTTGGTCCCAGTTCCTGTAATAACATGCAGATTGTAAGTGTACACAGAAATGATGACCTTTGATTTCATGTGCATAAATATTAGCACATTGTTTGATAGATGAACAGACAACTGCAAAATAACTTTATAATAGTGCTTCAACACCATCCTTAAAAACATACTTAGTTATAGTGATCATCTATGAACCAACATCTATGCAAAACAACAGGCAAAAACAAAAGAGCATAGGCCTACTCTGTTAACGTTTACATCACAGCCATAATTCAAGATGGTCCCAGCATGCACTGGGATAAAACGCTTAGAAACACTCAGTATTCTTCACTAGGTAATTACTGCTTTAAAGGTCACCTACAGTATCATGCTATTTTTAGGCAATAGCATAGGTTTCAGATACATAAAAACAAATAAAAAACATGTCTATGAAGTGTTTTGGTCAAAAAACCAAACACCCATTCTATATCCCTCTATTTCTCTTCCTGTAACAAAAGTGCTGATTCTGGGTATAAAGCTTTTTTTTGTTTTAAACTGAAAAAAATACAAATAAGAGGGGACGGAGCTTATGCCGGCTCATGCGGGACCTGGCAGATACTGTCTAAAATGCTGCGGTGATGAAACGCAAGGATTATTAGATCAAGGATTATTTCTGAAATAGTATGGAGCTCAAAGGGTTTCTCTCTTGCGGGTTTACCACAAGGTGAGTTACTTTTTATATCCTGCTTCTTACACATGCTCTCTCCAGTACAGCTTAGCTCTGAGTGTTAGCGATGCTTGCTAATGTAAACAAAGACTATTACGTCCAAAACACGGTGTGAATTGTTTCTGATACAGCAACGTTTCTGATTGTGCCGTGGGTCCACCATCCGATATGACATAATTTACGTCATATCGGATGGCATATCTGGATAAGCTCCGTTGTACCCCCGTTTTTAGAGATTTTCGTACGGAGGAATTTTCTGACACTTTGTGAGTTCCCTGACACACCGGGGACACATATTTATGTATAAAAGACATCAAAAAGTGCATTTTGCCTGATAGGTCGCCTTTAAGATGTTAAGATATGCCGATCGCAGCCATATTTGCAAAGTCTCCAATCAACATGAACTGCATGTTTTTGGGTGTTGTGAGAATTAAAGCTTAAGTAAACTCAAAGAGAAAAAAGGCTAAATTTAAACTTGTGAAACTTGAGTAGAGATTTAAACTCCAACCTTATCATGAGGCGCTTTCACGCCAAGTACTTTTCCCAGGAATATTTCCCGGAACATAATTCCCCGGAACTCTTTAGTTCCGGAACTAACTAGTAGATCGTGTTCACACCGGAATAAGTCCCTGAGGGAGGATTACGCAAATGAAGCCGCTGACGTCACTTCTTCTTCTGCTTTGGGTTTACTGGCAGGCCGCAAACAACTTCACGGCGTATACTGCCACCCGAAGTCCCAGAGTCCCCCGAAGTCCCGGGTAAATCGCCAGAAGCGCCGACACCTCCTCACCACTCCAGCGCTCCCACATTTAATTGTGTGTTGCCATAAGTTAGTCTCTCTCTGTTGGTGCGCTGGGCTAATGCTAATGCTAATAATGCGAGCAAATCAAATGGTGGCTTCACAAAACTTTTTTCTGAGTTTTACAGGGCGTGGTTTGCAATTCGCCCATCCAATTAGAAATTGGAACCTTTTCCTCCCCAGGAAAGTACCACCTCTTTAGCAGGGACTGAAAAGGGGTGAAAAGGTTCCCGAAAAAAGTTCCAGATATTTTTGGTGTGAACGCAAAATCCAAGAAACTATCGTAACATCCTGGAAAAGTACGGTGAAAGTGCTAATAGAGTGATTGACCTAACCAGCGTAGCTCAATTTTATACTAGATTGATTTTAACACCCCAAAACATCCAACCAAATAAATAAACAGCCAGACATGTCACAAACAAGCAATCGATATCTACTTTGAATAATGTAAAGAAGCGGAGCTTTATGGGCAGGTTGATTAAAAAACCACAAGACATATGACATGGTGAAAGTAAGAGGAGGAATGAAGGCTTACGCTGTGTTGCATTGTCCTCCACACAACCCTCTGGGAGCAGCAGAGAAATGAAGAAGAAAGAGATTTAATTGGACATCGGAGAAATTGTGAGACTGAGAGAGAGAATAGCAGCAAAAGAATGTCTATTAGTTAGTGAAGCAAAACATTTAATGATAAATGGTCTTGCTTAAATATTATATCCACCAGCCTCATCTGACCATGAGATTTAGTACCTCAAACATTTGTATCCACACCAATTTATTTCTGTGAAATCAGTTTAAAAATCTGCTGCCACGACTGATCCATGCAAAGATTGTGACCTGCATACAAACAGCAGCGTCATATGGAAAATTAGTGTAATTACAGTAGTTTCATTCAATGCAATCAGCTTGCTTTAGCAAGATATACATAATCACTTAAACACTTACAGATATATCAGATATGCATACATTTACACATGGAAATTCAGACACAGAAAAGATGAGTGTGTGATCTAGTGAGTAAGTAACTCACCTTTCTTAGAAGACATTTTCTTATCTCTTACGATGTAAGATGCTTTCACCTTTTTAGTAATCTTTTTCTATTGTACTTTTTAGATGTATGTTATGAAGCAAAGATGGTGGTTTGATTTGATCTTTTTAAACAGCACTGTATGTAAATATGGGTTGAATCCAGGAATGAATAAGGACATTGCAAAGGCTCTTGTCATGTTTCATAGAGCCAGTTTAGTGAATTTAATATGTTTTTTCCTTATATTTAGAGATTACATTTGGACTATACATTCTCCATCTTCTAATCTGGTTCTCTTCTCCCACATAGTTTCCTCTTTAATCCTGTCAAACAACTTCTACAGCAGAAGATTATCAACTGGGCCTTTTATTTAAAAAGACAATATATGATTTTAAAGCTATTTGCCAAATGAAGAGAGGATTATAATTTGGTATATGGATTGGTCAAAGGACACACTGCTTATGTTATGGTTTAATGATATCCAACCCATAGCCTGACATGTTGCTATTTCACTATTTCAATTTTTTAGCACCTTGAACCATTTTATAGCAATAGGGAAAATAAGCAAACTTGTAGGCTGCAGAGACCAGAGTTTGAGGAGTGGGTTAACACTGAGTTTACACCTTGTCAAGTTGAGGGACAACGTGTTGATTTGTACTGCAGCTTGGCACTGACAGCATACTCCTCATTGTGTTTCAGTTTCATGGGGATTGAAACAAATCTTTTTATAGCATACAACAAACAATATCTGAGGATTTGCCACCAGCCTAAGGTTTGGTGGCAATCTGTTTCAGCCCTGCAAATTCTGGGATATGGAACATTCACATTTTGTGTGATGAAGTACATTAAGTAATCTGTAGTATGTGGTTGGTTATGTTGTTTCAGAACGCACCAGTCTATCCAGGCTTGTTCCGGCTGCTGTGGTTGGCCTCTCTTCAGGAGTGTAGGGTCTGAAGCGACCACTGAATACATCTGAGATGCCGCGTGCAGATCTGCCAACTCCTGATTGTTTTGGCTGGCCGCACCCTTGGAAAACCTAAAATGACCATGGGACAGAGGGAGATCCAATGCAAAAGTCAAAGATGACACAGAGTAGACTTCTTGGGGAAATCACACAGCTTTTGCAACATTTTAAAACATGTTTTTCCATTATTATAAGATGTGAGCTCATTGCAGTACCGATAAGTTAAAAGGAGGTTATCAGCATGAGTTATACAGTGAACTAGGGCTAAGTCAATCTCTGGTAGAATATACATCCATCCTGACCCCCCAACAGATCTGGGTTACTTACACAACCAACATTTTTCCCTTTAAGGCTTCTGTCAATTTTGTCACAGCACAATTTCTGGTCTGTGATTTGAAATATAAAACTATATAGAGCCAGCCTGGAACCAGTGTTGTCTATCAGTGAGCAGTCTCCTTTCACAGGAAGTGTCAAATTGGTGGCAAAAAAGAGAGAAAAAAATCTTTGTATGCTGTTACCCCCATAAAATCTGGTGATTTTAACTTGAATTTTTTAGGTCAAAATCCTTTTTGGCCCATATCAATTAACACATAAATACATAGGATGTGTTGATAATCACATAGTTGTTTAATAGAACAATGTCATCCTGTAACTATGATACATTTGCCTTCATAAAATATAGAATTTCTTGTTCCGGTAATCAATGGGTAGTTCATAGAGGTCCACTGTGAGAATAGATTGTTTTCAGATGGCTTGTCTCTACAGGCTCTGACAGGGGACGTGCACAGGTACGGGCCATAGACTGGTACGGGCTAATGTTGCCCGGGCAATGGCCCGTTTGGCCTTTTTGGCTGACCTGCCCCTCTGGAGAGAGGGAGAGTTTGTTTTTCTTTTTTCTGTTGTGGCCGAATCAACATGATAAGCCCACAATTAGTATTGTAGCGTCTCGCTGCGGGAAACACACTTTGTCAGCGCTGTCATCTGCCGGTGCGATAAGACCACCTCAGTGTCGGATTTTGGAAACTTGATTTTGAGTTGTCTCATCATGGCAGTTAGGGTATAAGGGACAAACCAGGGGACTTTACTTCCTCTTGATACCGTCGGTTATTTACAAAAAAACACCTAAATATAGCCTGTTGCTATTGCTTCTGTCTTTCTTTGTCTTTTCATCTGTAAACTCCCTCAACGGGGCCGCTCGCTCTCTTTTCTTGATTGCCCTCTCACGGGTGAACAGTTCAATGTCCCGCTTCATTGTAGGATTTCTGCCATGTCTTACCACTTTAGTTTGACCATCTCTGTTACTAAGTTATGGAATACTAAATAAGTAATTAGATACCTTACCGCTACTGCGCTCATAAAGAATGATAAGAATAAGAATAATGCGTATTGAACTGGTTTAATTAATTAGTGAGTTTATTTAAGGTAATTAGTTAGAGGCCCTATTTTATCAGTATGTCTGGACTGCACAGCAGTTACAATGGTTAAACTACATTAGAACAGAATTGTCCCCATTTTGTCTTTAATAGTTACTAACATTAGATATTTTAATGAGATATGGACCGCAAAACAAAAAATGTCCCTGGTTTTCATTTTTAAAATCAACTCACCGAATGTAATAGTCGCCTTAGTTTATTTTGTTAGGAGATGTGAATTACTGTTCAATTTAGTTGATGTAATTTTTTTTCGGGGGGAGGCCCTTTTTCCAGTTTCGAGCAATAGCCCCTCCAAATGTCTGTGCATGATCCTGGCTCTGACGGCCCAAACAGCTCACCTCCAAAGCACACGGCTCATTAGCATTCCTCTCTGGCCTGTATGTGATGGAGCACTCTAATGTGCTGCATGGCTGTCAGGACAAGACGCTGTCTTTTCTCTAATATTTATCAATTCTTCACCATGATTACAATTCCACTATCTTGTACATCACGCAAGCAAACCGATTTTCAACAGGTCTGCGCAGCAGGAATGAAAGCACTGTACTTTTGGTCAAAATACGACCGTGGGGGAAAGATTGTAATCTCGGAGCAATCTGTCAGCCAAGCACAACCGTGCAGGGATAGAGCATCAAGTGCATAGACAATGGGTACAGTTGTAAATTGCAGCCCTTTTGATATGGAAAAGAATGTGACATTTAATTCAAACTGACCTTTGTAACTCTGGCAGGAAGATAGGCCAGACTACACCAAAGGGTCTGAATAAGAAGTTGAACTAAAACAAAAGTCTTTTGACGAAAAAGACAATGACTAACACTTCTGTGATTGATAACCTCCTGAATGAGCTGCTGGAAATTAAAAACTTACAAAGAATGATCAGCAAAATAAAGTCAAAAGAAAGGAAAGAGGTAGATTGTTGCTCACCTCTCTTTTAAAGACTCATCTTTATATGGTTATATTTCCTAATTATGTTCATAAAAAGTTACTGATGTGTTGAATAAACTCTTTCAAAATCGTACTCAAATGTTGAGCCAGAAAGCTCAGTTTGCAGCTAAATAATCGTATAGTTTTTTTCTGCATGCAGCGGTGTCATTTGACGAGACAGTGATGAAGTAGTATGAAAGGAATTACTAACAGATGTTTCAGTCTGTATAACTACTTTGTGCTCTATAATGTTTAAAAATAAATTGCATCATAGCATTACGACCATAGCTGATTGAGAAGACGGTACCTTGGCTGACACTTGCATGCTGTTGTCCTGCATGGTCATGATGGCATCAGAGATCTTGATGTCGACCGGCTCGATAACAGCTTCAATGTTGAAGGGTCCCTCCAGTCTGTCTGCCACCAGTAACATGGCATCTGTCATAACAGAGGACACATGTCAGCTCAGAGAAATATCAAACATTCACACATAGACCTTTAACTAATTCTGTTTACGCACACATCAATATGTTTACATCATGTCTGGGCATTAACAATACTCAGTGAAAACCCTCAGGGTTCTTTGCTTCATTATAAGTCTGACGGGAGGCTTGTGGTGCAGTGGTTGTGAGTTGGTGTTCGGATCAGGGGGTCACAGGTTCAAACCCCACTGCAGTCAGCGTGTCCCTGGGCAAGACACTTCACCCCAAATTGCTCCTGTGGGGATTGTCCACAGTATTGAGTATGTAAGTCGCTTTGGATAAAAGCCTCTAACAAACGACATGTAATGTAATGTAGGACATTGCTCTGAAGACTGTTTGCTCATCCAAATGTGTTGACAGTCAACAATCACAAACACAAAAGGAACCTGCAAGACATTTATCTAGACACTCAAACACACACTAAGTAAGAGATCTCTGGAGCAACCGAGGTGTTTGTAAGAGGATGTGCAACATCACGTATGAATTACATTTCAATGTGCTTAGCTTACAAATAGCTTATTCATAAAAACAAATCATTGACTTGCAAACATGCTAATCACTGCAGTTTAACAGAGAGCCACAACACTTCTGATTTATTCATCAATTTGCATTGGTAATTCTAAATTGTGAAAGCATATCAATGAGATATAAATGTACGCCTATGTATCATTCTTGTACTCTAATTACTTAGAGTACTTTAATAACTTTACATATCAGACATTCAGTGCTTGACTTAGTTCTTTCTGGCAAATGTGAATTCACTAACACACCAAAAGCATGCACTTACTTTGCATCACCAAAATACATCACTCAGATCCTCTGACGCAGGTAATTCACTTAGGTACAGAGTTGTAATGATTCTCTGCTTTTTTGTCAAAACCCTAACTTATGACTTTGCATCTAATCATGTCTTTTGAAAACAATACAATAAAAACCAAGGAATATTCTCTGGTTTTATTAAAATGGTCAAAACAAACCAACAACAATCACAGAGACCATAACCTTATTAGTGTGAATAAGTCTCGGCATGAATCAATACCTAAAACGGATAACCCACCAAACTGACACTTTGCATTTTTCATTATAACTTTGTGATATTAACATCAATACAGAGGAACGGCTCTATTGATCGTGTCGGATAGGGAGGTATCAGTGGTGAAAATGTTTGTGTGTTTGTGTTTGATACTACCGTTTAACTCTATCTAATCTCCCCAAAAAAGTCCAGCAAGTCTTGTTTGAGGTGTAGTTAGTGGTTAAGTGGTGAGGGCAGGGAACAGTGATATCAATAAGACTTCATCTCTGTGCACTGACATTAGCAGGGATGTGGATCAATAAGCCAAAGTATAGTCACACCTACGGGACCTGTTCCCTATGAAAGGGCAGCAGAAACACAGTTCCTCTACCACTTAAGCAGAAGTAGAATTACATCATAGGATCGTAGGACCGCAGGTCATCAACTAAATGTTGATGCAGAGTGCTCATTGGACTCTGTGCAGCTCTATGGGCTGAGTGGGTGATTCTTGACGGTATAAGCAAGGGCCCAACCATTGGAAAAGTGACTGCATCTCATAAAAACTGCCAAAAGAAACCTTGCAAAACGGTTTCTGTTGACATAAGACCAGTTATTTTGAATAGAAAAAAACCCTACCTTGGACTAGGGCTGCACGATTTGGGGAAATAATCTAATTGCGATTTTTCTGACAGATATTGCGATTCGATTCCCGATATTTGTTTTTAAGCGACCCAACGGAAGTTTATTGTAAAATGTGGCCATATCTCTGGCTAGGAAGGTTGCATCAACATGCTCCCGTCTCTAGCACCCCTGCAGCCCGAGCTACGAGTGAAAGAACTAAACTTACGTGAAACTTCCGTTGGGTTGCTTTAAAGTCAAGCTTAAGTTTAAGATTCACCCTGTAATAGATGTAAAACATGTGATAGAGCATTACTAACCTGACTCAGATCTAGGAGAGCGCCATTGGAAGCCATTTGGAAAAGGCAGGCACTTTCAAAAATACTTGGCAGGTGATTGGATCAATCTGTCTATTCACATTATATCATGGGCCACTTCTGATTGGTTAACAATGGCTGGTACATGTGGAGCACAGCACTTCTGATTGGTGTGGATGACTGACATACAAGAAAATAAATAAATAAATAAATGTAAATTAAAAAAAAGAAAATCGCGATTTCGATTTAAAATCGATTAATCGTTCATCCCTACCTTGGACCTATTATATTATCCTATTTGTTTCCTTTTTAAATGTATATTTGTTTTACTGATTTATTTTAGACATTTCATTTAAAAAAAAAAATGTATTCAGTGAGACAATTCATGTGAGATGAGACAAGACAAGCCAATGAAATACAAGGGATCAACACTCCAGGATAAATCATGCATCTTGTACACTGTAAAATAAAAAAGCAAAGGTTTAATTATAGGATATTGAGGTTGTCTATAAGAGACATTTCTGTTGTGAAGTATTCTTGTGTGTGTTAAAGTGTGCATATAGAGGGGCTTTTTATTGAATATTACATACATTTCAGGCTGAGTTTCGCTGTGTCTCGCTGTCTCAGGCTGAGTTCAGGCTAACAAATCCGCGGAGCTGCGGCTGAGAAAAGATAAGGCTGAGTGAGTGTGTGTGTGTGTGAGGAAGTGACGTAACGGCTACGCGGATTGGTCTAAATGGACCAATCTGCGTAGCCGTTACGTCACTTAGACCCTTACGTCACTTGGTACCCGCAAGAAAAAAATGGAAAAATAAAAATCTCCAACAAGGAGTTCTGGGACAGGTCTTTTCTGTGTTAGAGTTTTACTCCCTACAGGGTGTACTTTGAGGATTTGCGACTTTGCAGACCATTTACATGCAGAAAAAGCTACATAACACACAAGGGGACGGGTAATAACCGGAAAAGCATGACATGGGACCTTTAAAAACATCCTCAGTGAGCTGTGAGAACTACACTACAATAAAATCACTGCAAGACCTCTCTTTACAAAAACGACAAAACAAATACTTTCCTTCCTTTTTTTAAGGCATTACTTGAGTTGTTTTCCTGATCTGCTACCCTGTGGTTCAGATTATGTTTAGGTAGCTGTGATTACTTGGTTACGCATAAAATATGACTTGTGTACAACTAACAATTAATGGCTGTTGGTAGGCGATGCAACACATCTTATCTTAAGCATCTTCGAGCATAAGGAAAAGCACAATAAAAACCCCATGTATTATTATTATTATTATTATTATTATTTTCAGTGTCAAAGCTGAACACTTTGTACTGCATTCATTGTTAAACCAAAGTTTTTACTGAGGAGCGTTTAACATGGTAGGAAAACTTAAACTTAAACTTGTTCAGTAAGAAAAAGCTTAGGAGACTTGTTAAATTGACAAATGAGATCATTGGGGTAAGTCGAGTATAGCTATCACAATTACAGTATAACAGGCAGCACTGAGGAAAGCCAATACCTAAGACTGCCCTGACCAGCCGCAGCAGAATGAGTTTGAGCTCCTGCTCTCAGGCCAACATTTCAGAGTGGCTGTCATGAGACCTAAGGAACATAAAGTCTGCCTCCTCTCAGCGGCTATTGACAGGGAAGGATATTAAGCTCACCCGCTTGACTGAGCCAAGTGATTTAGAGGACAGGTGAGGATAGAGGAGAGAGCACTAGCTCGTTTAAACAGAGGTGAATAAAAAGCATAAAGTTTAATACTCAACCCGGTATTGCCAATTAGCATTGAATTAAGTTGTAATAAAATCAGGAGGCCTGTCTCAGCCAAGCAGAGCAGGGCAACCATCCAATGCAACCCAACCTCATCCAAAAAGAGCTGAATACAATTACTCAAACACACATTTGTTGTATTTAAGTGAATGTGTAAACACAAATCCATAGAGAATATTTGTAGAAAGTTCATAAAAACTGTGGCTTAAGTGTCATGGACAGAAACTTGGCATAGGACAAGATGATTCGATTTTGGTGGTCATTCCAATCTGGATTAGACCAGATCAAAAGATTCACATGTTTAGGAATGAAATTATTGGCAAGAGCAAGAAAAAAGTGTTAATATAGCACCAACATAGATCTGCATGATATTCTCACAAAGGGAAAAATTGAATACTTATTATGATCAACAAAGTCAAGTCAAAAAATAATATAAATATCAAAAGAGAACAACATGTACTAATGCATTTACTGTTCTTGTACTCCTTAAAGTAAAGTGCATGTCTGATTACTTATGGTAAATTATTATTGTGTGCTCATGTATTGTTAATAAACAACTTGGTGAATTTGTTGTTCCTAATCTCATGTCCCATATGATTGGCATTGCAGTGATTGATTGACCAATCTAATTTTGTGAAAAATGGTACAGTATATACTGATTAATAAAAGACAGGTGTTTATCATCTTTGAGGTCAAACATGTTCTTGCTTTTATATCATACAAATCAGTATAAATCTACTTATTCCACAGGTATATAAAAAAAACATATAATGTAAGACTTTCATACAACCATCCACAAACAACAACCAACATGTTAAACCTGAAACGACTCTCCTAAAAACACCACTTCATTTTTAAATGAAGAGAATCTTGCGGACTGGTATAGCATTTGTAGGAAATAAAATCAATATATGTGTGCCGGAATAAAAAATTAATACACTGTGTTATTCTAAAACCAGATGTTCACTCATCTCGACTTCCGGTTTTGTGAGTATTATCTCCAACTTCCGCCTTCGCAGAGTATTATTGTTTGTAGTCATTAGCATGAAGCAAACAGTATGTTATGAATGAGAATATGAGGAGAGTGACTTGTGGCGTTACATATTAAATACACAAAGTCTAATGCTCCTTATTGACGTTATTAATCACTCGCGGGAGACGATCTATGCCACATCACCATAAAGCCAAAGAGGAAGACGCTAAGCCAATGGGAGAAGACTACAGATGATAATATG